GAAAGATTAGATTGACAAGCCCAGCTATGCCCAGAGGGTTTCTAATCTTCTTGTGTTCTAATGTGTGGGGCAATAAAGGAATAGGCAGCAAAGATTTAAGTTCAATGTCTTTGATAAGGTAAAAGCAAAAAAAAGTGTGGGGGGAGAGAACATTTTTTGAGGATACATAGATCTTGCAAGAAGAAAACTTTAAATAACCCACATTAATGATTTTCAAACAGAACATTATGTTCATAACATGACAGTACTAAGTGGACTTTTATTCTGTGAAGAGTGCTTGCAAAGACTGAATGCTGTGACCCGAAATAATAAACATGCTGCCTCTTCCATTCTTTCCCCCAAACAATCCTCACTATCTGACCTTATCTATGATTCAGGTTGAACTGTATAAAATTACAAATTTTGTAGGTCACCAATGATTAAATATTGGCAATTTCAAATGGTTTGACCTAATACGATTCTCTGTTGTATATATTATACACTCTATTAGCCAGACTGTTCTCCTTGCCATTTTTAAAAAAAATATAGATTTTAGTTTTCAGAGCAGATTCAGGTTTACAGAAAAATTTGCTCCAAGTACAGGAAGTTCCCATATAACGTTCCCCACCTGTGCACACAATTTCTGCTATTATTAACATCTTGCATATAAGGTACATTTGTTTTAACTGATGAACCAATATTAATACATTTTTATTAACTATAGTCCATAATTTACATCAGTGTTCAGTCTTTGTGTTGTACAGTTCTGTGGGTTTTTACAAATGCATAATGTGCTGTTCCTGCCAGTACAGTATCATACAGAATAGTTTAACAGCCCTTTAAAAAGCCCTGTGCTCCACCTGTTCATCCAGGTTATTATTATTTTTGTGTGTTGAGGCATATGAGTTCCTTATATATTTTGGATGTTAACCCCTTATCATATAAATAATTAATGAATATATTCTCCCATGCTGTAGGTTGCCTTTTTGTTCTGCTTATGGTGTTCTTGCTGTGCAGAGGCTTTTTAGTTTGATGTAGTCCCACTTGTTCATTTTTTATTTTGTTTCAATTGTCTGAGGAGATGTGTCCATGAAAAAATTGCTCATGCTTATGTTCAAGAGATTTTTGCCTATGTTTTCTTCTAAGAGCTTTATGGTTTCATGACTAATATTTAGGTCTTTAATCCATTTTGAGTTTACTTTTGTGTATGGAGTTAGTAATCCAGTTTCATTCTCTTGCATGTGTCTGTCCAGTTTTCCCAATACCAGTTATTGAAGAGACTGTCTTTTCCCCATTGTATAGTCTTGCCTCCTTTGTCATATGTTGTTTGACCATATATGTTGTGAGTTTATTTCTGGGATCTCTGCTCAGTTCCACTGATCTATGTATCTGTTCTTGTGCCAGTACCATGCCATTTTGATTACTGTAACTGCAGCATAACTTGAAGTCAGAGAACATGATACCCTCAGCTTTGTTGTTCTTTCTCATTTGCTTTGGTTATTTGGGGTCTTTGAGGTTCCATATACATTTTAGGATTATTTTCTCTAGTTCACTGAAAAGTGCCATTGTACCTTATCTTCTTTATCTGTTTATCTATCCATGGAGACTTAGGTTGATTCTATATTTTGGCTATTGAAAATAATGCTTCAGTAAACATAGGGGTGCATATATCTTTTGAATTTGTTTTCTTCAGGTAGATTCCAAAAAGTATAATTACTGGGTTGTATGGTATTTCTATTTTTAATTTTTTGAGGAACCTCCATACTGTTTTCAACAGTGACTGTTCTAATTTTCATTCCCACTAAGATTGTACAAGAGTTCCCTTTTCTCCACATCCTCTTCAAGTTCATCTTTTGTCTTTTTGATCCTAGCCATTCTGATTGGTACGAGGTGATATCTCATTACTGTTTTGATTTACATTTCCCTGATGATTAGTGATGTTGAGTTTCTGAAAAACTAAATATAATTTTATATTTCTTCATAAATAAAGGATGTTCAAGATATTTTCCATTTGTCAATTCATGGTGATGAGAGATATTAATCACTCAGTCTTTCAGGTTTTAATCCTGACTCTTTTGAACACATTCTTTTATAAATGGCATATTCTTTGAACTAGGATGTCTTTTGGATACCTGGTAGAGAGTTTAGTATGACCTATATAATTTGTGAAATGTGGTAAAATGAACTTTCCGCATTTAACACTAACCTGTAGGACAAAATGCATAGAGTAGACAAATATCTGCATTATAAAGACATTGAAGATTTGAGTCAGAACATTTTCTGTAGTACTGTATGACCAAATGTAATACTATGAGTGGTCATTTAGAACAGTAACATTTGACTCAAATGGTTCTTGACTTCGTAGTTGCTTGATTCAAATTAGGAAGTTGACTGTCAGTACAACCAGTGCTATTTGCAGATACTAAGACGGTGCTGCAGATCACTTAGAGATTGTATTGTGATATCCCAAAAGAAATGAAACAAGAATGCAAACAAAATAAATACATTGAATAAATATCATAATATTATAGCAACTCTGCCATACCTAGAAATTTATTTTTAATAATTCTATATCAGGCTGTTTCAATATATAGCTTGATTTTCTAAAATGAAGATGACAATTAGTAAAGGCCTGGCTTCTGATTTGATTTTTTTTTAAGTTATGCCTTCTGTAAAGTACTGAATTATTTATGTCACTAGAAATAGGGAAAAGGGATTATGTTATCATTTTCCATACAAATACAGATTTTAAAACTTAAATCCTCAAAACAAACAAACAAGAAAGAAACAGACCCATAAATACTGACAGCAGACTATTGGTTACCATAGGGGAGGGGCCTGGGGAGATGCATGTAATAGGTGAGGAGGATGAAGAGGTAAAAACATCGAATTATAAAATAAGTTAGTCATAGGAATGGAACTACAACATAGAGAATATTACCAGTAATATTGTAGTATCTTGTTATGGTAACAAGGATAACTATACATGCCATAGAGAGCATTTAGTAATGTATGTAATTATAGAGTCAGTGTGTTGTACATCTGAAACCAATATTATAATATTGTTTATCAGCTATATTCCAATAAAAAAAGAAAGAAAAATTACACGGTTAAAAAATAAACTTAAATCCTAAACTTAGAATACCAATGTATAAATATCCAGAGAACCTAATGACATTGGGCACACTTAACTCAAAAATACAAAATTTACTGTATTCTGAGAAGCTGAAGTGATTATAAAATCAAGCTTCTCTGATCCCCACTATAGCATATAATTTCTTATAAATGTTATTTTTTGCACTGGCTAGAATACTTGCTGAAACATTTTACTAAGTTCCCTTCTCTTCTTTCTATATAGGACATAAAATGAACCTATTCACATAAAAGGTCAGAGCTACTCCTCAATTCCACATTCTATATATTATGTAAAACTTATTTTTTCTAGTTAAGGATGGTCATTTTCTCAGACCTTCTCATTTCCCTTTTACTTTCCTCAGCAATTATGGGTTTCTCTTGGGATCTGTATTTCCCCAGGAAACATAATTACATAATTGTAGTAGTTAACTATATTACTACATATGCAGAGACAAATAGGAAATAACCAACTTTAATTGAAATGTAGATGCCAACATCCTAACAATAGGTAATGCAAATATATGCTTGAGCAAAATCACAGATTCAAGGTATTTATGAATTCTTAAAGTAGTTGAAACTTTATAAGGTAAATTCATTAAGGCCACATTCCTATTGTGGTTATTATTACAGTTACTGTCTGTTAGCTCCATGCAAGATGATCTTGGAGGTGGGGAAGGCATAAAGGGAAAGCTATATATATATTCTATCTTGTTATTATTGAGATATATTTGTAGGGAGCATAGTCTAGTCCATAGGAGTTCACCTTTTCTGATAAGGCACATACAGGAGCTCTACCTGGCTCTTCTGCTCACTCTCCACTTTGATCATATCCAGAGAATCTGAGAACTGTGGCCTTGATTCCTCATCTTTAAAAATGGGGATGACAATAGGATCTATTTAATAGGATATTTTGAGGGTTATGAAAAAAGTATGTATAATGCCTGGCACATAGTAAGTGCTGGTTATACTATTTATAGTTTGTTTTTTTAGATCAGGTTCCATTTAAAAAACAAGACATTTTTTATCTGTAATCTAATCTACTAGTAAATATTTAATTTGGATTCTGTTGTACTTGCATATAAATCATTTCAAAATGTGTTTACTCACAGATGTTATTCTTCTTAAGTAGATCTTTCTTTAGTTTCTCTTCTCTGTGTTAGCAAAGAAATCTTTAGTGTACAGTTGCTAATTCTATATATTCATTACTGGCATGATTTCATAGTGACTCCAATTAGAAAATGGAGAAAAAAGGATTTAATTCTAAATAAGAGTTCTAAATTATGTGTTAAATATCAATGATTAAAATGAACTCTGGATATTTTTGTTGAGGTATATAGTCCCAGCAATGTCTAGCATTTTCAATTACTTTTTTTTCTCCCAGTATATTCACACATAAATCATAATGTCTACCAAAGAAAAAAGGGAAGAAACAGTTACATAATTTTTTTCTCAAAGGATGACATCTAATGGTGTATATATTGATCCTTTAGGAAATTTTATATGTACACTTTAATGAGAATTAAAACAACCTTTAATCTTCAAAATGCCCATGTTGCTTAGGAGTAGGTTCAACTGTAAATAAAACTCAAAACAATATAGAAGTGTATTCCTCTTATGTAAAAGAGGTAGGCAGTTTAGGACTCATATACATAGAGGTTCCATGAAATCATCAGGAACATGGGCCTCAACCAGCTTACCACTTCGCCACCCTAGCCATGTGGCCTTTACCCTCTGGGTAAACAGGGCTATTCCATACATCCCTTCTAAGTTCTGTGTACCAGAGGGAGGGGAAGGAAGGGCCCCTCTCATTTTAAAGGAAGTATCCCCATATTGCCATAAAAAGTTCCTTTTTTAGTTGGATAACAATTCTCTTTCCTTCTTAATAGCTAGTATTTATAGATACATGACTACATGCAGCTGTAAGGGGCCCAGCTAAAAATTGGGATATGGAAACAAATTTGCAGTCTCTGCACGCTGTCTTTTGAAGAATACAGGTATGTACTCAAAAGTGTTAAAGGCAAGTATTAAATCTGGCTTTGTAAATGATAGAAAATTGGTCAGGCCTTTACAACCTAGTTATCATTTGTTTTTTCATGATTAAATTGTTACAATAGCTATAATTGGTTCTGCATCATCTGCTAAGAAAATGGTAGAGTTATTAAAAAACAGTAAATGTCATGTCATACTACTCAACTGTTCAATACATCAAACCATTTATAGTTCCTTTAAAGCATTTTTACTAAGTAGGAAACAATCTTCAGTTGCAAGGAACATTTTATGGTTTATGAGCAGACAGTGCCTGACTGTCCGTTAGTATGGCTCTAGGACAATATTTATATTGACTAAAATGCTTCAGTAATTGACTTTCAAGTAAAAAAAAAAATACTTTATACTTTTAGCTTTGAAAAAAAAAATCTGGAAAACTACTAATCTAAATTTGTTAAGGATATAAATCGAAAAAGCTATCTAATTCAGAAAGTTGTTCATATGAGTAATTTTCTCCTTATTCCAAGTAGCCTCTTCCTGCTTTCCAATGAAACTACTAAGATATGAGAGAAATCATGAAGGAATTTGAACATGCAGGTTTTGTCTGTTCTGGTTATGAGGGAAACAAGTCTTGCCTCTGCTGTAGGATTCAGGAAGCTTGTAGCAATACAGCTAAAAATTTAACTTTAATGAATTTATTAAGTCATAGGGTTTTAAAATTTGTGGAAACCTTTGATAATACAGCCTCCAATGCTGGCATTTTATAGTTGAGGTGCTAAGGTCTTGAAAGCTGAAGTGACTTGACAAGGTCACCCTGATGAGTTAGTGGCCGCGCTGAAACCAGAACTAGGGTTTTCTTGACTTCTAATCTAGTGCGTTCTCTCCCTTCCCCTTTCCTCCCTCCTCTCCTCCTGCCTCTTTCCTTCCTTCCTTCCTCTCTTCCTTTGTTCCTCTGCTTCCCTTTTTTCTTTCCTCTGCTTTCCATATTTATTAGTATTAGCATTATAAATATTTGTGTATTATACACATATAGGTTCAGATGTAGAAAATGATAATCAATTTGTTTTGGCAAAAAATAATTTGATAAAGAAAACAAGGTGCTTCTAACATTGTTGGAAAATTGGGTGATGGAAACTCCAAGCAGGGCTTCCATAAACAGTGTTCCTAACAGTCCAGCAGAGAAGCTGAGGAGGGTACACACATTTCTCTTCATATCCTGAAAGCTAGTGACTGGAGTGCCAGTGGATAAGCTGCACTAACTCCGTAACTGCCAATTGACATGCGTAAAGCTACTGCATGGACCTTAGAATATTGCAGCATAAAAATCCTTTTATCAACTGTGTTTGCTAGCAGAGCTAAGCAAACAATCACGGCCTCCACTTCAACATTCCTACCATCCCTACATGTGTGCATTTAATTGCTAGGACCTAATCTACATCCAGAACCCCAACTGTAAAGAAGTCTGATAGATAGATGTTGTCTTTAAGTTTTCAGTCTCAATAGCGCAAAGAAGCTACCTCAGAAGTTACTTGGAAGGAAACAGTTTTATGAAACATACACAGCATAACAAATACTGCTGTGGCTTCGACTGGAGAGTTTCTCTTATTCTTGGTGAACTCAGGAGATTGCACTTCCCAAGAGTGCAGGCAAGTGCAACCTAATGTGGAATACATTGCTTTAAAGTCTAAAGAGGCCCACCAAGGTGTGTGTCTCTCAATGACAGGGATACAGAGGTTTTTTTTTTTTCTACTTTTTCTTTGACTACCAGGCCAGTGGAGCCCCAGAGCTTTCATAAATGCAGCAGGCCTTGAATTTTCACCAGGTTGTTCCTGGGCTTGCAAACATAATTAATTCATAAAATCATGGAAACTCAGAGTTCATAGAAACCTTGGAGTATGTATATTTCAGTGCTATCAATTGCTTAGGTCGTAATGATTAGTTAGTGACAGTGCTAAGGGTGAAACTAAAGGCTTTGTTCTAATTTAACCTAATGCTCTCTGTTGCATCCTGTTTCCCCCTAAGTGTATTGTCATCATTAATATATTGAGGATTTGGTTGTCTGTAGCATTTCAATTTCAGGATTTATATCGAAAGTATTGGAAGAATATGTTTCAAATATGAGAATGAATGAAGAGCTGCTTTGGTTAATCTGTTCGTACTGGCAATAGGTCATCAGAAGCAGTGAAGTGCTGTACAGCTGAAGGCAGACTATGGTAAAAGGACAGAATTGATCATTTGATGTTAGGGAAAGTTGAGTGTTCAGTCATCTGAACTCTGGACATGCTTAGGATATTGACTGCAGAGGATTCAGTACCATTCTTTCATTTTGCTTCTCTGGGTAAAGTGTGAAAAACATTTTGGGCTCCAGAAAATTGTATGTGGAATAAACATATCCAAGCAAAATATGACTATTGATAGTAGTTTGGGCTATTTTGACCAATTTACTGCTATATTAATATTAGCTTTCCATAATAACCAACTAGAGTTCTAATTTCCTGTGTTCTGAATATTATGTCACATTTTGAATATCTCTAATCCCTATACATTTCCTAAATTTCTACTTCTTCCCCATCCTTTCCTCTCTTCTTTCTTCTCTTTTTTCATTACCAATTCTTTAAAAAAAGAAAAATTTCGTGACCTTCTGTTATATGAATGAATGACCCTACCACTGTGTACAACTGAGGATGTGAAACATTAAGGCACTTCAGTCTTGTAAAAGTGACAGGACCTATCCTAGCAAAGACGAGTTAACATTTAAAAAAAAGAAAATGGTACGAATGACAAGCATTAGAGAAGATCAGAGAAGGGGGATACGAGTGTGTGGGTAAATCAATTAATAGAAACTTCCAAGAGAAATTTCTGTTTCAGCCTAGACTTGAAGGATTTAATCAGGATTCATTATAATATGCATAAATTGTGCTAAACCCTTTGGGCTATTGTTAGATTCATATGGATATTTTGAAAAAATTTGTGATAAACTACTTGACATTTTTAGTTTATGATAAACTAAATCGTCTTTTGAAGCAAATTTAAATTTTAAACACAAAATGAGAAATCTCATTCAGATGATATAAACCAATTACAAAAATATGCACTTAAAATAGGTGTGTGTATATATATATATGACAAAATGCCAGGAATGTTTTATATACTACAGTACAGTGATAGGATGTGATAAAAAAAATCATGTATGTTTCTGCCTTTTAATTCTTTTCATACTTAGTAAAGAAAAACAATATAAAACCTTACATTCCTTGCACTCCTATGTTTATCACAGCATTATTTACAATAGCCAAGAAATGGAAGCAACCTAAGTATCCAAAGTAGATGAATGGATAAAGAAGATGTGGTACATACATATATATACATGGCTGAAAGATTCAGCCATAAGAAGAAAACAAATCCTACCATTTGCAACAACATGGATGGAGCTAGAGGGTATTATGCTCAGTAAAATTGCCAGGCAGAGAAAGGCAAGTATCAAATGATTTCACTTATCTGTGGAGTATAAGAACAAAGAAAAAACTGGAGGAACAAAACAGCAGCAGACTCACAGAACCCAAGAATGGATTAACAGTTACCAAGGGGAAAGGGACTGGGGAGGATGGGTGGGAAGGGAGGGATAAGGGGGAAAATGGGGCATTACAATTAGCACATGGGACACAGAAAAGGCAGTATATACAGCAAAGACAAGTAATGATTCTATAGCATCTTACTACGCTGATGGACAGTGACTGTAAGGGGTATGTGGGGGGGACGTGATAATGGGGGGAGTCTAGTAACCATAATGTTGTTCAAGTAATTGTACATTAATGATATAAAAATAAAAAATTGAAAAAAAACACCTCATATTCTTTAATTTAATCCTGGTAGAAAATATAACTGACGCCAGAGGCTGTGAGCCTCAGTTGACAGTTTAATGAAGACTCTTGAAATAATGGGAGACTCTGGGTGCTTTAAGATAAGCCCTGAGCAAGTCATTATATCTGTTTAGATAAAGGAAAGATTAAGAATATTTATGTTACCAAAACATTTAAGTACACATTTATTTTTTATCTAGTTATCATAAATTGGATTTTTTCTTTAAATCTATTGGTTATGGAGGCCAAAAATCATTCTATTAATAGTGAATCGTTCATTTTTAAAGTCCCAAGAGCTGTTGATTTGTAACTGTGAAACTGTAAATATTCATTATAGAAGACCACGTGTTAAAATGTTTGTGAAATACTTCTCTTTTCATCTAAAATTATAAATACTATTGTTCATTGGAAGCTGATTTTACCCATCACACTTGTAATATCAACTGTGGAATTGCTGATTTTTGTCCTATAACTTTCCTATGGAAGTGGTTTGAGTTTGCTTGTTGTTAGATAGAATGCATCTGGTTTTTTCCCTACAGGCTTACTTACTATAAACCTGGCGGTTTTATCCACTCATTTCTGGAAAGCATCATAAATGAGTTTTTCTCAGACATGAGGCTCTGCTTGTACACGGTGAGGTTTTTGCTCAGGTTCAGGTTCATAAACTTCTGAAATATAGAGGTAATTGGGAAAGTTCAAAAAAGAAGTAATTTCCTGGGTTTAAATGCCAGCACATTGAACTCAGTAACAAAGGTGCCTCCCACACTCCACCAGTGGATTTTAACATGAATTTTAGAGTCCTTTGGTGTCTTATACCACTGCCTTATGCCTTCCTGTGACTGGAGAAGATAACTCTCTTCTTGCTACAGTCAGTTCAAACTCATGCTGACCCCCTTCAGATGATCTCCAAGGTGTTCTCCTGAGATCCACCACTAGAATTCCTTCCATTGATGCTACATGGCTTTATACCCCTCTTACAACTTTCTCTAAGTTGTTAATTTATGTCATAGCTATTTGTAGGTACAATTAATATTGCTTATTCCTCTTACTATATTATAAAGTTCTTACTTATTAGAATCAGGTGATACTAATTTTTATATCTCCTAGTATTCCTAATACTGATGTAAAGAGAAGACTTT